TTCAAAGGTTACATCAAACTTATGAAACTGTTTTATTGTATAATTGTTTACCTACATCTGCTCAACCGGCGTCACTAGGCAGGGCTGGCTGCGTTTCTATTTTCAAAAGACTCGAACTATTATAGTTAAGTGTTAGTGGCGTGACTTAGTTTGGTGCTGTTGAGTCCGACAACTATAATACATATCTCAGCTCTAGTCAGAAGCCCGAGGATTAAAAGGTTCATCTCAATCTTTTCTCTATATTCCGTTTTTGAGATAGGTTTCAATTTTTGAAGCCCGTTCTGTTTGAACACTTATAGTTGGTGGCTTGGGTGTGGAATATGACTGCTGGCCTAAGTTCGACCAGTGACCGACCCTTCACGGCAAACTGGGCGACATGGGGTCCGCCATGGTGATGTCGTTCATGCATGCTTCTGTAGATGGAGCGAGATGGACGGAACATTCGGGAGCGATATTACTGCGCTGGCTTTTATAGATACCAGAGAAGAAAAGAGGGCGGTGCTTGTAGTGAGAGCTTGATCTGATTCACTAGTCGTGAGTGCCGTGAACTAGGATTAATGGCACTCAAGGCTCGTGGATTGAATCGCGCTCCCACCGTCCGATTTCTATTGCTCACAATATCATTGAGTGGGTGGGAGTCGTGTTAGAGGAGGCGAACATATATGTTGAACTTGTGCAGCCTCCTTCTTCATTTGTATAAAGCGAATGTGCATTTGACAAATCCTCCACGACTTGCTTGCCAAGGTGAGACGTGGCACCTCCCGGAAGTTTGACTAACGTAAGTCACTGACCTTTCGGAATCATGTAAAATACCATAACCAGTACCATTGGTGATTCTTTCCCTAGCTTATGAACTTTCACAATGGTGGGTCCCTACTTCACACCATTTGGTGGGCCTAGAATAAGCGTGCAGGAGCAATCCGTGCTGCCGCAATAGCGGTGCAGGATCCCCGATCTTGGGGAAGCATATCCTGTTGGCGCATTGCTTGTTGGTCTGCATGTATTTTCGAATACAGCTAGGTCTTCCCTTCTCCAACCTTACCGTTTAATCCTCCTTTAAAGGCATGCTCCAGGATCGAACACGTGTAGTCCTTTAACATATGAAGCTTGGTGCGAAATGGGCTGGCAGTAAAGAAAAAAGGAAAAGAATCCGTCGAAAACGCTCAGGTTAAGGGCTCACTCACCTTCGTAATGCGGCTGTGCTAAGCAATGAGAGACTAAGCGCGGAGAGGAGAGTATGAGGCGAGAGAGCGCAACAGATGAGAGGGCGCCAGACAACAGCCTGGAAAATTGCAGCTGCTGCAGCTTACTTTGCAAGGCCCTAGCGCTCTTGTCGGGTGATTTCCGTGCACGGGAATGCCCACATCTGTGATTGTCCTCTAGGGGTCTATCCTACAGACCGAAGAAAATCGTTCGCACTTCTACTGCCTGGGTTGGGCCTTTAGCCATTCATTAAGGGTGATAGTGGTAGCGATGTTCTTCTTACTTCTGAACTTTTCATTGCTTCCTACTCAGAGAATTTTTAATTAGGCGATGTTATACCTTAGGTCATTTCAATGAACAGGATCTCTACAAATGTAACGTAGAGGACCTCTCTGTGCAAGTTTTTTGAAACTTTTCAGAAGGCATTGGTATGAGAGCATATTGAATCTCAGATGCTATTCCACCAATTGTCTCTCTCAAAACGGATATCTGGTAAACCCGTGCTGAAATCCACCCAAGTCGGTCATCAAGGCACTTTTCATTTTGGAAGCGGTCTGCGTGACAGGGGAATAGTGGTGACTTTTGGAATGAGTGGTCAATCAACCACAGTAAGCTGATGGGCTACTGTAAAAGGGATTGTAGTATTAGTTGGTGTGATTGCCCAAGACCGTCTAACTTCAGTCTGTGGGATGGCTGAGAGGTGAAGCGATTCATGACGTCATCGGGCATCTTCGGTGCAGGAGCGCTATGGGATGCCATTAAGTCCACCTCTTAATGTCTTCAGGGACTTAGACGGCCAGTTGTGGTTTAGGTCAATCTCGGGTGTGCAGGGTACCGTAGTTGTTAAAGCGAAGACCTGTTAGCCAGATCCATTGAGTAGAAATATCTAACTTGATGAGGGCATTTTGGGAATGGAGGAAGATGCTTAACTTCCGAATACTGCCAAGTTGAGGGAATTTCTCTTTTTCTTTCAAACTATCCGAATTTTTGTAATAACATTCTGAAGCATTCCAGTGTGCTGAGCATCAAGTTTCTTTTTTGAGGTAATGGCAAAAATTCCTCCCAAAACCATTATTTTTCGCTGTAGTTGCGGTTGCCGTGGATAAGAACGGTCCTGTGCTGGTTCTTCTTTGTCGAGAAACGGGTGCAAGATCAGTACTTGCAGGGGAACAAGATCTTTAGCTTAGTGACGAATTATTTATAAATAGGCATCTTCAACTAGAGATGAATAATAAACCATGCTATCACTTATCTCCCTCGTCACGAACAAGGACAAAGCACTCAAAGTTGTTCCTAATCTCTTTCTAGTCAGATGGTAATCCTGTTTACTACGCATGCGAGTTTTATTTTCATTGTTGCACGTGAGTGTACATTTGAGTTATAGAAAGACACAAGAATGTAATCCCATCTGCAACTTGATGACGTCCACAGCGTAGGTTGAGTAGTGCATTATCCGATCTCGATGAGATGAAATCCTCTACATAGATCTGCAGCGATCTTCTGCGAAAACAATTTTACCGGCTCCACTGCCGTATTGCGTACTAACGGCCTCTTCCTCCACGCTCGCCTCATCAGAATCCATGGCGAATAGGTGGAGATGCCTGGTTCAGCCGTGAGCTAAAAGCAGATCACATTCTGCCTTGTAACCTATATAAGCTACATCGTGCACTCCAGATGTCATTTATTCCTAGGATATCACTGCTTTACCGGAATGACTCAAGTAATTCCACGTTCTGGAAGCCCTTAATTTTTAATTCCAAAATGATAGGACTTTCTTCCACTAAGGATCAAGCTTCCGGCCGAACAGTTCAAACGGAATATCACGATGATACCCCAGAATTATCTCATTTGAATTTGTCCGAGCACAGTGATAGGCCCCACTTGCAGGTAACAATAAGATACAGCATAACATTATACTATGGCTAGTGTTATGAAAAAATGGTTCAGGTAAAATTATTGCTCGAGATGACAGAATGAATTCGTGATGGTCGATGTTGATCAATTTCTTCTTCATTCGTCCCGTCCCAAATTGAATGGTGATATAATGGTTTCACGTTAGTTGGAAGCCTGAGCTAGTATGGAGCAGGCAGGGAGCCGAGAAGACACATTCTTTCTGTTGAGATTGGATTTTTCAATTTCGGCTTTAAATTTGGAAGAAGAAGAATTAATCACATTTCGCCGGAGTCGA